TGCTCTAAAGTCCTTTCTCGCTCTGATCTTCTGTGTTCTAAGTACCTTTCCAGCTTGGACATTCTCTGTTCTAAGGTACCTGCCAGCTTTCATATCCCCACCCCCGCCCCACCCCAAGGGTCCTGCCACTTCGGACATTCATGAGTTTCAAAGTCCTTTCAAGTTCCAACATCCTGTCTTATGGTTCCTTCTAGTTCTAACATTCTAGGTTCTACTGTCACATGTTTTAACAATCTATTTTTAAGGCCCATTTCAGTTCTATGATTTCTTGATGTAGTAAGCCCTTTTCTATGTTCCAAACTTACTACTGCCCACATCCCCTGTACTTCCCCGGTAATCTCTAGAATTGCTTTTCCTAGCCACTCCCTAGTTAGGCATCCTGAGAATTTTCTCAGCCTTCTGGAAAGAAGTTGTTCAGCTCGGTGGATAGAGAGTCAGTCCTTGGAGTTGTGGGGTCACTCATTTTTAGAGAAACATTACTTGGAAAGCCTGACGATATCAGTGTGTCCTATCCTCCCTATTTGTCCATCTGGCAAAAGAGGGCAGGGGAGAAGGCAAGATTCCATTGGTCGTTTCTAGTGGAATCAAATGAAAAATTAAGCGTGTTTATGCCAACATATAGGTCACCACGGTCTCATAGGCACATAACGCAAACACCTTGATGGCAGTCCTGCCATCTAGTGGCCGACACAGTAATCAAAAGACCTAATTCTTTGCTTCCAGGGCTGCAACCATAATAACAAAAACATTTTTAAGGTGAATCAAGGCTGATGAAACACTTTCTTGACAACAAGCTGGTGGGGCAGACTGTGCATTGCTTTGATGTTTTGATGGATCTATGCTCTAAACATGCCCCATCGTGGGCATTCCTCCTCCAACGATGCCAATCACAATTCATACATGCTAGTAGTCCAGAGTCTACGTCTTCCTGTAAATGGACCACAGAGAGAGTCCATCCAAGGTGTTAAGGGCCTCCAGCAAGTTCTCTGGACATTATATAGATAACCAGAGGAGAACATGGGCTGTCCTGTGGTTCTTCCTCTCTCTTTCTTTAGAAACCATCTACCCCAATGCCTTCATTGTATAGTTTGAGAAACTGAAACTCAGAGATATTAAAATGACTTTCACATGTCAAACAGTTTATAGAGTTGGGATTAGAATCCATACTTGCATAAATCCCCTCCCACCTGATAATAGACCTACCTTTTTTTCCCCAGTCATACAGTTTTCTACAGCAATTCTCAGGCATGATCCATGATTGGTAAAATGTACTGTAGCCTCCTCATGCCCATCATGCACTTCTACATTGCCCTTTGAGTGACTGTGTCATTTAATTTTGGAGTCACTGTGTCATTCCTTGACTGAAGGCACATCACATCACTGGGAGTATACTGGTCTAAAAAGATGGCCCTTTATCTTAAGGCTAAGGTCATTAAAGTAAAGTCACTGTGTCACTTTCCAAACACAATCCAGACCACTTTCTTCCTCCTCTTTGACTAGGAGCCTAGATCATAGTAGTGTCTGTCCAAGATGAAAGTACTCATGGATTATCTATCCAGCTATGCATTAGGCATTCTTCATTGACTTGGTATTTCCCGTGTGGATAGGTGGGCTGAACTCTTTAGATGGATTATGGATGTCATTTGTAAAATTCCACAAAGTTCTGAG